GTCTTACCAGGTCGTCACTCCATCTCGTGGGGGGACGCCCTACACTTCGCCTACCGGTACGAGGCTGCCTCTCGAGAACCTTTCTTCCCCATCGGTTGTCGGTTCTTCGAGCCATATGGCCGGCCCATTGCCACTTCAGCTTACTAATCCGTTGGGCTATGTCGGTTACTCTGGTTCTACTGCGGATATCCTCATTCCTAAGTTTATCACGCAGAGAAACTCCGAGCATAGCCCTCTCCATAGCTCGCTGAGCGACCTTGAGCTTCCTCATCCGGCCAGCAGTGAAGGACCACGTCTCAGTTCCGTATGTCATCACTGGCAACACGCACTGGGTGTACAGTCTCGTTTTCAAGGTTTGAGGTATACCTGACGAGAAGATGTGCCGTAATTTCCCGAACGCTGCCCAACCGAGTTGAATCCGTCGATTGACCTCTCGGTCGAAGTTGGACTTACCTAGTCGGACTATTTGTCCCAGGTAAACATACTCGTCAACAACTTCGAGCTTAGTGTTCCCAACAACTACCGGCATAGGTGTGACATGGACATTAAACATGATCTTAGTTTTGTCCATGTTCATCTTAAGACCTATCCGTTGGGAAACACTATTAAGGTCATTGAGCATAGTGCTTAGGTCCTCCAGCGATTCTGCCATAAAGACTATATCGTCGGCAAATCGAAGGTGAGTGATGTACTCGCCATTGATGTTGATACCGTATCCTTTCCAGTCCAGAAGCTTGAAAACGTCTTCCAATGCAGCGGTGAAGAGTTTCGGGGATATGACGTCACCCTGTCTTACACCTCTCTGCAATTGGATAGGTTTCGTACTCTGGTTCTGTACTCGGATAGCCATCGTAGCCCTACTGTACAAGCACTTCAACAGTTCGATATACCGACAGTCAACTTGGCATCGCTGAAGGGACTGCAGCACCGCCCAAATTTCGACGGAATCAAAGGCTTTCTCATAGTCCACATACGCCAGACATAGTGGCAAATTGTACTCTTCGGACTTCTGTACAATTTGCCGAAGGGTATGTATGTGGTCTATGGTGCTAAAGCCCTTTCGGAAACCGGCTTGTTCGGGAGGCTGGAAGTCGTCAAGTCTGCGCGCGGGACGATTCGTAATGACTCTCGAAAACAGCAGGTAGACGCGGCTCAGAAGGGAAATCGGTCTGTAGTTCTTCAAGAGAGCGTTGTCACCTTTCTTGAAGAACAAGACCACCGCACTTCTGCTCCACGCCTCCGGTGTAATGCCACCATGGAGGACGGAATTAAAGAGCTTCTGAAGGACTTCAAGTACCGGTTTTCCACCCGCTATCAGAAGCTCCGCTGTAATTCCATCCTCGCCTGGGGTCTTACCGTTAGCTGGATATATAAGATATTATTGTTCGCCCTGTTATCGGATCATTCAGTCACTTTCAATCTATACTGAATTAAGAATCAAAATGCACATGCGTTAAATACTCACGACTGAGTTTCAATGCTTGTGAACAAGTAAGAGTGGTCTGCGGATTTGTCCGCACTCAGGGTGAGTAGTGTCTGTAAGTCGAGTCGCTCGCGTTAGTTACTAAGGAAAGACAGAGCAGTATTCATCACCTGTCTGTAAAATTTTGGTTCAACGTTTTTATATTATATCGTGTGGTTGCGACGTCGAAGAATTTTCCATTTCCTTCTGTGAGAAATGCTCGAAAGATCTTATGGATTCCGATAGATGGTGGTAAAACCATCTCTTTTACGCGCGTAACACCCAGACCGGCGACATCAAAGGTGTGAGATGTTACCTACTCACGACTCTTCTTACTACTTTTTTGCTTGCTAAGCGTGATCAAATCCTTCATACAATGTGAGAGGATTTTTGGATCTCGATAACAGCGCCACTTACCGAGTCCATTTGTAAATCTGAACCATCCAGGGACATACTCAAACTCACAAAAAAATTCAATAGAATCGGTCGAACCAGTTTCGAGTTTTAGCGAGACTGACGAACAGCAATTGATATGAATAGAGATTTAAAAATAATATTTATATTTGAATAAGGTATGTCAGGTATTGTATTCAGTGTTTGGTGTATTCATACCCGCAATTCGTAACCTTGTAAAATAATTTTCGTAACTATTTTTTAAAGTATCTTATATTATATCGAGTTATAAATTAAAATTGAGGATATCCGCAGTAGAACCAGAGTAACCGACATAGCCCAACAGATTAGTAAGCAGAAGTGGCAGTGGGCCGGCCATATAGCTCGAATAACCGACAACCGATGGGGAAGAAAGGTTCTCGAGTGGCAGCCTCGTACCGGTAGGCGAAGTGTAGGGCGACCCCCCCACTAGATGGAGTGACGACCTGGTAAGACATGCAGGAAGTCGATGGATGCAGGTGGCTCAGGATCGTGCTTTGTGGCATTCCTTGGGGAAGGCCTATGTTCAGCAGTGGACTTATGAAAGGCTGTAATGATGATAAATTAAAATTCCGGCATCGCCACGGATAATGTAGGCTTAGCTACATTCACATTCATAGTTCTGTGTCACTCGTGGAGATCGATATTGGGTTGACCGCATATACTTGGGGCACTGTAATGTCTCCTTATCCCTGATGATAGCCTACTATATAGTTATATATTCTGGAAGTAGCCGTAATATTTATAGCAATACCTGTTGATCCCAACATGTCATGACTAAGAGTCTAATATTTGCAAGTAGTCATAATATCACAACATGATGATTATGAATGAATTGTCCTGACTTAGCTTTTGACATAAGATTATTCGTGAACACGTTAGGAAGTATAATTGCTACAGCACACTTCCACACAGCTACGCCGTCGTAGTAGTGACTACATGTTGCATCAATCGCTTCAAGACTACGACGCGACGCTAAGGTTTGTAGCGCTGTAGCGCTGTAGCGCTATCGTAGTACTATTATTTATTCTGTGGCGCTACGCACACTCGTGACAACTGTACATTTTAAAAGAAAATATTCAGGTAAAAATATGTAGCGATTAATTTTGTGTAGTGTTTGATTGCTTGGGATTTTATTTAAAGAGACACGTACAAAAATACACAATTTTTACGAAAATGAGTTTTAAATTATAAGTAAAATATATTTTAATAAGGAATATCCTATTAAAAAAAATTCTACTTGTCATTGACTTACCATATATATTTAATTAATATTATTATTTATAAATTAGACTTAGTAAAAAGTAAAAGTTGGCTTAAAAGAGCTAAAAATCATAAAATAATTTCTCTATAAAAGCTTCAGAAGTCATTGGTACTTAACATCGACTTCTGAAGCTATTGTGCGTAAATTATTTTAGGTATTAATTTTAGCTCTTATAAGCCGGCTTTTCCTTTTCTTAAAAGTTCCACTATTTGACCCTATTTAGCAGACTCAGGAATATCAAAAGTTCGAATGTCATCTAAATACATTAAAAACTTCATCACCTATTTTTCCACCATTAGAGGTGGATTTATTTTTCCAAATTTATATAGGACTACGCCCGAAGTAGTAACTATTTAATTTAAAAAAAGGAATCATTATAATAGGTCCACAATTGACGAAGATATCGAGTAAAATACAAACAAAAAAAAAACATTGTATCGAAAATCGTATTGAGACCATCCTCTTATTTTTTGGTTAAAAATTAAATATAACCTAGGCGTTATTTTTGACTGCAATCTGACTTGGGGCGCTCATATTACGGATGTAAGTAGGAAAATATTTCATGCCTTTCATTCTCTAAAGCGTCTTCAAAGTTTTCTACCCTTGTCTACTAAGATATCCATAGTCCAGACTCTTATATTACCAATTTTAGATTACGCTGATGTATGTTATCTGGATGCTACAGAGGAGCAAATCAATAAACTTGAGCGCTTGCAAAATTTATGTATTCGATACATTTTTGGCTTAAAGAAGTTCGATCACGTTTCTGTTTATCGCAAGCAGCTTAAATGGCTCCCAATCCGCCTTCGCCGGAACACTCGTATCCTCTGTCTTCTTTTCAATATTCTACATAATCCTTCTATTCCGCTATATCTAAAAAATCGTTTTACTTTTGTTCATTCTCCAGATGTACCATGTAGGTCAAATACTAGAACATTGTTAAAATTTCCGTCTTTCAATACCATGCTCTATTCTCATTCTTTTTCTGTTAACGCAGTACGATTGTGGAATTCACTTCCCTTTAGGATTCGTGATGCTAAATCGGTGTCTATGTTTAAAAGACTTGTTAAAGAGCACTATCACTCACTCCATAATTACTAAATCGTAATGTGTTGGTATGCATATAAGTAACATTAAAATATATATTGAATTATATATATTTTTTATAATATATAATATTTATTTATATATGTATATACGTATATATATAAGTTTGTATATATTTGTATAGTATATGTATATTTATGCAAGTGCACACTTTGACTACCTCTATTTCCTTCAACTATCCTTCAATAGGCCTGCTGGAAGAAATTTCATCATGGAATAAGCAGTGCCTTTGTACATAATTATGTTTTTACCATTTTCTTATCAAATTACGTGTGTACATAAACTGTTAAATAAATAAATAAATAAATAAATAAATATAAATATAAGAGGCCTGGAACTGTTATTAAAAAAAACTTGATAAATCCTTAATTATTTGAAGTTTATAAATATATTATTATATACATATTAAATTTTATTGTGTAAGAAAAAATTAAAAAATACCTATAGTATATAATTAAAAGACGATAGAGGTAGAAATCTAAAAGTATGAATAAAATTTGCTCATTATTCTCATTATAATGAGCAACAGATAATAAGCGAGTCATGAGAACAGATCGCTTCCAAAGCGATGCAACTAGACTACTACAACGTAGGGCGTATGAATCGAGAGGTTCATTCAGGACATGAAACGCCGCCGGAAGCCTCGCAGATCAATCGTCACGTCCCTCCCCACTCCCCGCAGCCCTTTGTAGATCCCCAACAGGATCCTAGGAAGTCCAGACAGAGTGGCTCGTCAGTCAGCTCCCGGCGGCCGTGAGAGACGCACGTTCCGTCACTGTAGTGACTCGATTCCACGATCTCAGTGATGCTGTTATGTTTGCCACCTGAAAACGATTGAGTGCTAATCAGTCTTGTCTTACGAAGTTCGGTGAGTGTATTAACAGCAGTATTAATGTATAAGTTTATGTATATTTTTCAGCGGTATATTGTTGAAGTTAATGCCACCTGTTGATCTTAGAATCAACAGATTATCAACATAACAAGAGTAAAAGATTTTTTTATAATTTTAATTTTTTGGTAGTAATACAACTGACTACGACTAGTTACCGTTTATTGAAGCATTAAAGATGTAATTGCAATTGACAGATAAGAGAAATCTGATTTGAGGGAAAGAATAATGAGGCCCTGCTCATAATTTTTCTTTAAGGAATAATCAAAAACAAATAATATAAAATAATTAGTATCTTATTTGTTATACATTAATGTTGTGCAAACATTTATACACATTACATTTACAGAAATTGTGAAACGGCTTTAAACATCAAAAGTTTAAAAAAAGAAATATCTCCTTACGGTAGACATCATTTATTGCGATTTTAAAATAAGTACTGACTTAAACATACTTGAGCGGAATAAATAACAGCATATATTGCACACAGAACTTATGATATACTCTACTTTTTATGTACCAGGTCTTTCATTTAATGATAAAACTCTATTGTCTTCTTATCGATTGTCTCTATTTTAACAGTTGATTGGTAAGAAATTACCGTGCATTATTTACACTCAACTACAGCAAGTAAATAACTGTTAGGTATCTTGAGTTAGGCTTTACTTAAAAAACTTTTTATTTGTAAAACGTAAATATTTGAATCAACCGATGTTTTATTATTGTGTTTTTTTTATCTTGTTCTTATTGTCGAATAAATGTTAATACCAAGATCCATGTTAATGTACATGGCATAAATAAATGTAAATAAATAACACAATAAAAGTGGTGTATTGTAATTTCTTTTTACATTTTTGGAGTATCCATATAAGTCTTTCGTCAACTTCGCCTTGACAGTGGGCGGAAACACTTGTTGGCACAAATTGCATTTGCAATGCTTTGTTGCGACTATTACTAATAAAGTTTTCTGCGTGTTTGGTAAAAGCTCTTGCTTCCGGCGGATTATGACATTTAAATGTTGTTTATCATACCGTTTTTTATATGACACTAGTAGCGTATTCAATTTTTCGGGAATAAATATGTATTTCTTGCTGAGGATTTGTAGATATAAGTCCATTGCTTAACATAGGTCTCCCCTATGGAATGAAAAAGCAACGAAAATAAGAAAGACAAGTATATTTTAATATATTATATAGAACTATAAAATAAATTACTGGTTATCTTATGTTCAGAATAGAACGTGGGAGATAAAATAAAACTCCTTAGAACTGTTACAAGTATATTTCTGATACAATTACAATAGTTACAATTCGGTTGCGTGCCCGTTAAAGTATTTAATTTGAAATTGTCGTAACGAACGTACAAGTATATATATTTTAATTGAAGCGGAAGTATAGTATATAAGTGTATACAAGTATAGTATATAACTATATACAATTGTTATAAACTAATTATCTATTGGTAGTTGTATAATAGTTTATATATTATTTATTTTACAAAGCCGAAAGAACTGACTCGGCTCCTCGCCGTGTGGTAGCGGCGTAAAAAATACCACAACTTACTTTCGCACCATGAGGCAAAAAATTAACGAAATGGCCCCAAGTTCCCGGCGCCCCTTTAATGGGGCAGGGGTGCGAAGAATCTCCGGGAGGAAAACCGGCGACGAGGTTCGCCACCCGTCACGTTCTGTCCCCCGGAGGGGCGAAAAGTGGATTGCGGAAGCCCGTCTGGCTACATTGAATGTATGTGGAGGAATAAATGATAAGATGGATGAAGTATGCGATATGATGTATGATAGAGGAATAGACGTGTTATGTGTAAATGAGACGAAACGGAAGGGAAAGGATGCCACTACACATGGCATGTATACCGCGTACTGGTCTAGTGTAGACGAGACCGAGCGGGCATGCCAGGGAGTCGGTATCATCCTTTCAGAAAGAATGGGTCATTGTGTGAAAGAGTATGAATGTGTAAGCCCGAGACTGCTATGGATACGAATGAAAGTGGGCTTAAAGAAGTTGTTTGTTTTAGCGGTCTACGCCCCAGACATGTCTAAGCCTACTTATATCCGAGAGCAGTTTTGGGAGTTGGTAAGGATGGTGCTAATGAAATGCAAGGTTAATGAAAATATTGTGATATTAGGCGATTTTAATGGAAGAGTTGGGGTGAGGAGGCTTGGTTATGAAAGGATATTGGGAACGTTTGGTGATGAAAGTATAAATGAGAATGGTGAAAGCCTTCTCGCCGTATGCGTGGAAAAGAATCTTGTTGTGACGAACACTTTCTTTCGTCATAAGAAGATTCACACGTATACATGGGAAAGAGGTGATGATAGAACTATGATAGATTTCATAATTGTTGATGAAAGAATGAGGAGCGCGGTGGTAGATACAAGGGTTTACCGGGGCTCTAACGTAGGGACGGATCATTACTTGGTCTTATGCGGAATTAATGGTCTTTTCAGACGTTGGAGGCATCGGACATCTGTGTCTACCACTGCGTTACAGCGTATAAGAACAGAGAGGTTACAACATGAAGGTGTGAAAGAGAAGTTCAAATGTAGATTGAGAGAAAATATAAGTGGTATGGCTGAATTGTGTATGAATGATTTAGACTTGGAGACTGTGTGGTATAATGTTAAGAAAGGTATAGTGGATGCAGCTACCGAAGTGTGTGGTGTAAGTAAGAGAACGAATGAAAGGAAAAATAACACGTTATGGTGGGATGATGAGGTACGGATGGAAGTTGAAGCAAAGAAGAAAGCATGGCTAGATTTACTAGCAACCAAGGCTAGTAATTCTAGCAGTATGAATGATGATATTGAAAGGAAAAAGGCAATTTTTAGACACCTAAATAAGAGAGTAAAAGAAGTAGTTGAAAGGAAAAAGCAAGAAAGAACGGATAAGAATGATAGAAGAATATCGTATAACTTCCAGGCAAACATTAAAATGTTCTGGAAACTCGTAAGAACTACTAGGGGACATTCACAACAGCCTAGAATGAATGCTATACGAGACCAGAATGGCTGTATTCTGAATGACGAAGTTTTGAGTTTAAGGAGATGGAAGGAATACTTTGAAAGCGTATTTATGAGTAATGAGACGTTTGAATTAAATGAAATAGAAATTCCGAAAGAAGAGGAAATAGATAGAGATATAAGTATAGATGAAATAATGAAAGCAATGAAAAGTATGAAAGCAGGTAAGGCAGCCGGTTATGATAGAGTACCTCTCGAAATGCTAAGGGCTGGACAAGGAGTGGTGGCAGACCTGCTGTACACCTTGTTTAATTTATGTTGGGAACTTAAGCGGGTACCGGGAGACTGGTGCAAAGCCGTGATAGTCCCAATATATAAGGGAAAAGGATCACAGCAGGACTGTAAAAACTACCGTGGTATCAGCCTTCTTAGCATTGTGGGAAAACTGTATGCTAAGGTACTAATTGAAAGAGTTATGAAAGAAACTGTTGGAAAAATTTGGGATGTGCAAGCGGGATTTAGAAAGGGAATGGGATGTACGGATCAGGTCTTTTACATGCGCATGATCGTGGTGAAGTTTTTGGCCAAAAACCAAAAAGTTTTTGTGCGTTCATAGACTTGGAGAAGGCTTATGACAGAGTGGACAGGGATGTGTTATGGCAAACACTGAACTCATTTGGGTTGACCGTTGGTCTGATACAGGCATTGAAGTCTGTATATAGGGACTCTAGTGCTTGTGTCAGGATCAACGGGGCCTACTCGGACTGGTTTGGCATCCATAAAGGTGTCAGACGGGGCTGTGTGGCATCCCCGTGGTTGTTCAACCTATTTATGGACAGTTGTTTGGAAAATTTGAAAGTAGAAGAATGCGGGTTAAGAATGGGTGAGTTAACCGTCAAATGCCTTTTTGTACGCCGATGATCAAGTCATACTTGCATCGTCGGCAGCCGAGTTGCAAATGATGGTTACATTAATGAACAGGACATTAAAAGAAAAGGGAATGAAAGTCAACGCAAGTAAGACGAAAGTTATGGTTTTTGAAAGAGAAGAAAGTAAAACGATATGTGAAATAAGAATAGAAGGGGAGTTGGTAGAGCAAGTAGATGAGTTTGTATATTTGGGATGTGTGTTTAGCAGGGATGGTAGATATGATAAGGATATAGAACGACGAGTGAATGTAGGAAATAGAGTGAATGGGGCTCTACACTCTAATGTAAAAAGTCAGAATGTGTCCAAAAAGGCACGTATGGCAATTCACAATGCTGTGTTAGTACCTACTTTAATGTATGGTAGTGAAAGTTGGGTGTGGCAGAAGAAGCATGAGAGTAGAATAAATGTTGTAGAAATGCGGTCATTAAGGAGTATGTTAGGGATGAAGCTGAATGACAGAGTGAGAAATTGTTTAATAAGAGAAGAGTGTGGTTTGCAAGATGATGTTGTGACCAGGAATTAAGAAAGGAATGCTTCGGTGCTTTGGCCATGTAGAAAGAATGAATGAGGAAAGAGTGACAAAGCAAATTTATGTTGCAGAGGTGAACGGTATAGTCGGGAAGGGTCGCCCTAGGCGAAAGTTTATCGACCAAATTGGCGATATATTAAAAATGGGCCAAATCAAGAGTACCTTTAACCGACGAGCGTGTATGCGTAGGTATATAGATGTGGAAGAAGCGAGAGAGGTGTGTCAGGATCGTGCCAAATGGAAGTCCATAATCTCTGCCTACCCCTCTGGGTGACAGGCGTGAGTGTTTATGTTATGTTATGTTATTATTTATTTTACTACACAAATAATGTATGTAAATAAAAGTTTATATTAACTGTCTGCAGCGAACATATTTTATTCTTTTTCGTTTTGCAAATGGTTTATAATTAACATTATTCTACATAATACTTTTTAAATGCTTTATATTAGTCAAATAGCTTTTACTTCACACTTATAACACACACTGAGACTCACTCTATTACCATAAATTTAATTAAAATTAAAATTTCATTATTTTATAAG